CAAAAAGAAAATTAATGATTTGCGTTTCCACACTATTTTTGATAAAGATTGTTTATTTAACAGATATTGGGAGCTCTGTAAATGTAAAGAAGCAATGGGTAAATGTAAAAAATGCCTTAATGTGCACCGTGGCATTGGTACAATAAATTCCTATGAATTTATATAATATTTTTATCCGGGTTTCTAATCGCCAGCGTTGTCGAAAACAATTACGGTTTATCAATCATTTAATGTATATGCATGCATGATGTCACGCTTCTTTATTTTAGAGTGCAAACCTCAGAGCGAACGTTTTTTGCAAGTTGAATCAAGGTTACAGGATGAGAATTTTTATCAGTTATTTGTTATCAAACCTTGTACCAAACAGGCAATATTCCATTGTGGTGTGTATATTTCCTACTCGGGACGCCTGACGAATATAGAACGATAATGATCGCAGGTCTGTTCAATCGTATTTGTACTTACGTACGTACAGTAATGTGAGTCAGTGGGTGGGTAAGTACACCACACGTGGTTATAGAGCATGACACAAAAATTCCTTAGGCAGGGGCTCGGCTCACTACCACCATGAACGATTCACGCGATGAGAATAATCTCGTTTCAGCGAGAAATTTCTACGAAATTTTCCACCAGCAGTACCTATCTTGTGGAATTTCTCGTGACAGCGACAAAGGCTCTGACTGGACCGGTTTTTGATGGATGAGTTCCGATGTAGGAATTGGTTGCGCACGTTTCTTCATAAGCGCGCAAAATTTGTCAGAATATCACGAGAACGGCCACATGCACTGATTCACATGTGGCAGATAAGATAAAAGCAAACAGTCTGTTTTTTCATGTATGTATTTCCATTTTAAACTGGAAATACCTATCTTTGTATTTGGTGTTGTTCAACAAGGTTAGTACCGATTTCGGAAATCACGTGCGCCCGAGCATCCGTCCAAATGGTGTATAGTAGGGTGGTTCAAAATATCGATTTTGCTCAATTCCACTCAATTGATTTTAAATCGGGGCCCTGATGATTCTCTCAAATATTGAGCTCATTTGGTTGCGATCTCATACTGAACTGGCCCTTTTTTAAATGGAGCGTCATATATCATACAAGTTTACATTAAAGGTCTTGTAAATTTATGGGACATGTCATGAAATATTCCATATATTGTATGCAACTGTTCATCTTTGTAAGCAACAATTGTTACAAGCTACGAAGTTTAAATGTTTACATCACCAGTAAAATTCAGATTTTTTTTCAGTGCTGATTTAGAATCGGTTGAGTAGGGTGAAGCAAAATGGATGTTTTGAGCTACCCTAGTATATAGTTACATTTCTACAGAACTCGCTCATTCATTAGGGACTGTTCTTATAAATGTCGTTATGAACTACCTAGACCGTTTTTGAGAGGTTATAGACCCCCCCCCCCTCTCGCCGCGTAGATAATCGTCCATACACATTTTTGGAAATTTATATGGACCATAAACACTCGCCAACCCCCCTGAAATGCCTACGAGGTTTATGAACAGCCCTGTAGTTCCAATTAGACCAAGGAATACCATCAAGCATTTGAGTTTTTAATTAATAAAAGTATCACATTCGCTGAAGTGTGGTATTGGTAACTGTTAAAGCGAGGCATGTCGCAGTTAAGCAAATTAGCGATAGTGATGACCTAACTACTCTGCTGCATACATACCACCAATTCATATACACATATGGTTTGAAATGAATGAATCAATGAATAGCCAAGCCACAATCCGATAAACCATTCAACAGCTTTTGTGTCATGTACAAAAACGTATTCGAAACCACAAACACACTGCGGGATACGCTTTGCTACACGATAAACTGGAAGTAAACGCATTCGAATGTGCGATTTGATTTAAGTTGGCAATATTATAGCGATATGCATCAAGGAGGATTAAGCTATATCATCAGTTTTGCTTATAAAATCTGTCAAATACATCGGATACACAGCAAAACATAAATTTTAATATTACATCCAAGAGGATGCATTTCAATCGTGTCGAAAATCTCATGTAATTTTTATGGCCACATCAATAAACAAATGCAGTAAAAGCAGTGTAATGTCAGTTCATGCACTGTATTAATGAAAATTTTGTCCTTTTTGGCAAGTAATATTACACCATATTTTTTTACATGATTAAGTGGGTGCACACTTTGATGTGATATCAAAAATTTTTGCTGTGTAGATTGTAGCTATATCCCAATTGCCGAGTTAATTCGTCGTTAAAAATTATAGAAAGAGAAAATTACAGTGTGCGGCAGTTATAATAATCAGAATGTACCGACATTTGGTAAAGTAATTTACTGAACATATCAGCAAACAGAGATAATACCAAAATCAGTAAATGCATTTTCTGATATTTTAGCATTGATCTCGTCCATTACCGAATTTCACTGGTTTCACTTGCCCTTTTTCAGAAGTGAATTATAACGGCAATTATGTGGAAGAAAACTAAAAATTCTCAACAAACAGACTGAAAAGACAAAATCTCAACCCAGGTATATGAAATTTGACCTTAAAGCAGCAAAACATACGATTTTCCATCTATGAAATATGATCTCTCATATATTTGACCTATTTTACATTATGAGTTGGGATGTGATTTTGGCTTTGAAATTTGCTACATAGCCTTATGACAAGTTTAAATAATTCCCTTAGAAATGTAGTTAATAGAACAGATTTTTTGTTTCAAATGCCAGGCTATCTAAACATTCAAACGCATCGTTAGCCAAGCGGTTGTTGTTTCAACACTGTATTTGCCGTTGCCAAGGTGAGATGAATCACGCTGACCGTGATACCAGATAAGCTTTGTTTGAACGATGACAATTTTTTATCTTTATCTGTGCATCAATTTCAAGTAGTCTAGGGCAATTCCGTTTCTCTCTTGGCGCCTGACCAGTGATGCCACATATCTCAGAAAGGGTAACCCAACAAACAATTTAAAACTGATTAAAAGCTTAATAAGCTAAAAAATTGCTGAAGAAACTAAATTTTGTATGAACAAGCTCTTATTCAGCTTTCAATGTTTGTTGGGAATGTTTCCCCAACAAGATGGTGTTGTTCGTTTGCGTGAGAGTGCTAAGAGTTTCGACAATGCCTTGTTAAAAAAAATAATGTGATCAACATAGTCTTATAACATGTTATAACTGCTCAGTTTGGCCAGTGATTTATGCTACGGAGTTTACGAGGTTATAACTCTGCAATCTTACCAATTCATTAGATAATCGTAACTCATTTGTAGCAAATTTGCACACTTGGAAATACCTAACTTTACACGTGACGGAACACGTAAACAAACACGTCATGTAAAATTAAGTGCTCCGAGACTGAAAAGTTCGTTACTCGACGAAAAGTACGTTTGATTGAGCTGAATTTTGCGCTATTATGACTCAATTTTATGTCAAAATTGACGCTCGTATATGTCAGTCTCAGAGCACCTAAATTTACATGAATTTTTCTAAGTGTGTGGATCATCTCTTTTGAGAACAATGAGCGTAAATATGCATACAATGCGCTCTAGTAGGATTTATGTTGTAGCTAATGAACTAACGCATCGGAACAAACGTATTATTGTTTTGTGCATTGTGAAATCATTGATATTATTGATGATTTCTGCTCGATAGAACGGAAATGGGCGATTACGACGAAGTAGCGCTCTTCCCTATCAGAGAAAAAAATGGGAGTGCTTCCTTATGATGATCCACACACTTAGAAAAATTCATGTAAATTTAGGTGCTCTGAGACTGACATATACGAGCGTCAATTTTGACATAAAATTGCGCTTCTAGCGCATCCCCAAAAGAAACAAAAGAAGCGCTTCTAGCGCATCCCCTTTTTCTCCGTTTATCCGTAGGACGAAGAAAATCTAATGGCGTTTCAATGCGTTTGGACGGAATTGAAACGCGTAGGACGAATTTAGAAGCATGAAGCAGTGTTAGATTTTTAATAATATCTCAACATTGTTTGACTCTTTATCAAATCCAACGGTACGTATGAAAAGGTGGATAAATTTAGAAGTTATCTTTGATGAAAACATTCCATGTTTTGTTCAAACCCTTTCCAAAAAGCGTGGTAAATTGCGGGATGTCCTTAGTAGGACGGAAATTAGATCAAAAACCCTACTCGATACTCCATTGTATCTTTCATGAAAATTTAATAACAATATTTCAAACGCTAAGTTCTGGTGATTTTTTTTTATTTTAAATTTAACCGCAGCTGTCCAAGTTCTACCGCCAGTATGAACATGAGTTGTATACAGAACAACCTTTCGTGCGTTACCAAACGTGAAGTATTTTTGCAGGCGATTCATTGAAGCTGCTCTTGCTTATTGACAGCTGAAACGTAAATAAATCTCTGAAAGAGCAACATGTTGTATCAAAGCGTGTCACCGAAACCAGCATAAAATTTGATGTATGTACTGAATCTTTGTCGCCTACTTAGCCAACCATGCGTTTCCTTGGATGTTGTTCTCCGAGTTATGCTCAATTCACAGTGTAGTACCTACGTCGATGTTGTACGTACACATTCGTCTGGGTGATGTGCTAGCGAGCCACATGGCGTGGCGTGAGCGGCGGCGTGGTGGTGTGCATGCTGATCGAAGATGGGTGGGTACGCGTCGCGTTGCGGGATATCGACGCAAGCTGAGCGTTGGCTGAAAGTGCGCACAAACGCCTTTGAACGAAAACTCTGCGAATCGAAACAGCACTGAAGAACTGATGGAAAGACGTACCTACAGACGGACGAATGGACGGAAAGAGAGCTAGAGAGTGCACAAGCACATGTCGGACGGAAGAAGACACATGACTGAGGGGTTGCCGTTGGTGAAGAATGAAAGCAAGAATTACACAAATATTTAATGTGTATAGGTATTAATACCCCCGTTCGTTTAGCTTGCATACGACGAGAAGGAGAGACGAGAAATCCTATGACGGCTTCGACCTCTGTGGGATTGGTTTTGGGTGGTTCAGCTCAGTCATCAGGGAGCGGGTCTGCCGCTAGAGCACTTGCGATCGATCAGTTTGCTACTCGCAGTCGAGCCGTGTGGACGTGAAATTGTGGAAGCCGGAAAATTCTCTCGTGACTTGCGTGGAAATAAATGTGATTGCTAAAAGTGGTGAAGTGATTATTTTTTTACTGCTCAACTGTGGCCAAGTGACTGTGAGTGGCATATATTCCTGGACCGGATTCCAAGAAGCAAAAAGTGGGTTTAACACATTTTACTACATCCTTTTAAGATAGTTTCTGTAGCTTGTTCTGTTGGTGTGTTGGTGGTAAATTACAGAGAACAAAACGAACAGTTTAAATTTATATTGCTCATTGAGAGAGAATCGTTGCAGTAATGCACGCGAGTATCGGTGCTTAAATATTTATAGAAATGCTAATTTATCTAGACGAGTTTTCAGCGTTTTTTAAAAGTACAAGACAACTTGAGTTTATCGTAGGCTTTTTTTTATAATAACGGTACAAAGATAACAAGGATTTTAGTTTTGGAGTGATTTTATTGGGTTGATAAAATTCCAAGATTGGATTGAAACCAATTTTGTAGTTGAGTAGGGACAGGTCTTTTTCATTCACAAAAAAAGAAGATTGACGTCAGATTGAAGATTACTTTATGCCAATTGTGCCAGCAGCTGTCCGTAATCGACGGTAATGACGCAGCTCACCATGGTAGGAGGCAAGCCAGCTGATAAAAAGACGCGCTATTATCCATGTTGTGTCTCGAGTTCCGTCTCGAAGAAGTCGGCACATGGCATTTGATCCACCATAAGAAAAAAATGTACAATAAAGTGTATATTCGTGTCACATAGCACCCCGTTGGGACTGAACGGGAGTTTGAAAAATGCAGAAATGCATGTATGCGGTAATCGATTCATGTTGCACCGGTTCTTCGACCTTTCTTCACAGCGTGAGCACACATTTAACCGTTCTTTCCCCTTTAGTTTCATCTTCTATCATGTATATGCTTACCATATTATGTGGAAACATACTGAATGGTTATATCTTTCGGAGAGAGGCGCACCTTTTTTCTTTTATGTATTTATTTAACATATAAATTGAGCTGAACACGGTACTGACCTTACTCACTGGAGATTTTCATGATCAAGGCGTGAATCGAATGTGAGGGGGAATCATATGGCCTTGGCCACTATTTTTTGTGGGATTTTGAAGATAAGGAAGAAGATAAAACGGTCCACTACGTTTCATTGTCTCCAAAATTTAATGTGATTACTTTTCCATTCATAAATGGACAGTTATTTACCATTTTTATCGATCAAGTGGAATTACCTTAAAATTATGTTTAACAAATGTTTAAAACAAAAGGTCTAAAGTGAGTTATGCTCTAATACACTCCTACCATTGAGTTGTTTATGATCAGGGTCCATTTTGCCAAGAACCGGTGGCATTTGAAATTAATTCTTTGGAAACCAGATTCTAGCATTCTAGTATTAATGAGACAGGTAGTTTAATCGAAATCAACAAAAAATATGCTTGAGGAAAATATACCCAACCGAGAAATGTAAGAATCTATTACAGATTTGCATAAAAAGTATTTAGAATTTTAATGTTTCACCGCAGTATTTTAATCATTTTTGTAGTTTTTATGTTAGTTCAATTTTCTCCAATAGCACTGCGGCTGGAAAATCATCTCGAGAAGGTTTTAAGCCAATATATTAATTCTGGAAAAAAATTGCTTGTACGCTACAATCCAAAGAACTGCCAGTATATGTGTTGTAAGAAACATATACAGCGTACGAAAGAAATCCAGACTAACATTTGATTTTCATGCCATTTATTTGCGTGTATAATGAGCTTCATCAGCTATCAAAACATTGCACGTTCGTAGCTTGCGAAATAAGTAAACAAGTGATCGAAAGCTGACGAATCGAAGTAAGCCGATGGTCGAAAAGTTTAAACGTTCGAAACATTACTGCTCATCGAAGAGGCTTTTTAAGCCATCCAGTAAAAGTATGGACGATTGTCAACATAAAACTGACAAAAAAAACTGTTCCAACCGAACAAAGCAGTGCGTTTTGCCAATTCGATTGGAACAGCTTTCGGCAGATGTCCAAACTTTTACTAGAGGACATTAGCTAAAAAATTTCCAACGTATCCATATGTTACGAATTTATGACATGTTCAGACTAGAGAGGGTCTAGGATAAGAGAGAAGCGCACTGGTGAACTGTCAAAGTCAGAGCCAATTGGGTTCTTTCAGGATATTGAGGTAAATGCATATTTGAAATCTGCATTAAAAATGGAACCGATAGCCTCAATTTTATTTCACTTGAACTATTTTATATAAGTGCGATTGCATTAACCAAAATCACCATCTTAGCGCCCCTCGGTGGGACTTTGTATGGGTTCGAGCTGTCAATAAGTAAGCTTAGCGTCAAACAGTTAAGTTATTATTTTGCTTTATATCTTGATTGAAAAATAGAGATGAAAGTCTATGGGTTCGAAAAAATATCATTGTGCTCAGAAAACGAAGTTCTTTCAGATGATGTATAAACACCGATACACACTAATCCAGGCCTCCGTCGTTCGGTAAATTTTGAACTACAGAACTGTCGGTAAAAGTTTCAAAATCAGTGCAAAATCCAATTAATAAAAAAATTATCCTGAACTTGTACAGAATTTGTTCAGTTTACCCCATTTATTGATGAAAAATGAAATTTATAAATGTTCTTGATTTCTCACGTGTAACGGTCATTTGAAAATTTTACCGAGTTATTCTGCTGTTCAAAAACCCGGCAAATTCCTACCGACTTCGGTGATCTGAATTAAGTGTGTACATTTTTTCAATTGAGCAGTGCCTATCTTGATTGCATTGGAAGTGTTGCTAGAAAGCACCTATACCTGCCAAGGCAGTTTGCTTTGAATCCGCTCCTCTCTTATCCTAGACCCTATCAAGTTCAGACTAGCTTTTAAATAATTTACGAAACACTTCTGCTAGAGCAACATTTACAGTGAAGTTTCAAATGTAGACGATTTTTGTTGTCCATACGTTCAGATTGCCTCAATGTTAAATATGACTTTTTTTGTTCGTATTAAGGAAATTTTGACACGGTGTTTTCAACATTTGTTTGTATTTTAAAACCACTTTGTAATTTTCAGAGAATTGGAGTTTTACGTCTTTAAGATGGTGTAGCGCACACAGTGCTAATTTGATATTCATAGCCGACAGATTCTGTGATTTATTGATCAGTTTGTGCGGTTGACTAGGTGTGACCAGTATAGCTAATTGGGGTGCCTAGAGAGTGATCCTTATACCAATAATTTAAATTATATAAATCTTAAAAAAGATCCTAGATTATTCTGTGATGAGTTAAACTTTCATGTTGCAACGTAATTAATTTCATAAGAGACAAATTAGAAGCCACTGCTGACCTACTCAGTTTATGTCATAAAACTTCATAAATATGAATTTTGATCGTTAATTACAAGTTACTTAACGCACTGGTTTTGATCCTGTAGTTTCAAATTATGTCCAAGTTTAGTGCAGCTTGTTTCTGAAATATAAAAAAAGGAAAAATATGAGGCTTAACAAGTTCTGTTTCGATTTTACCATATCGAAACAATGAACATCATTTAAAAGTAGAATTTAGATAAAGCCTAAGTGCTTTTTTGTAGCTTCATATATACGGATTTGAAAGTCGCAGTGGCTTATTCTGGTGTAAGGAGCACCATCCCCGGGTTTGAATGGTTATAGCATCAATTTGATCATAAGTGGTGTGTTGAGATATGAGGGACTCGGCTGCCTTAGACAGCCGTTTTTGCTTACTGAGCAGAAAATCGTGGGATCAATCCCCGGCTTCTTAATATTAAGCAGTTTTATAGTCACTTTGCTAGTTCATCGTGTGTTTTGTGAAACATGTTGCCGTCGTCGTCGTCGGTGCCGGGTATAAATGGTTACAACAACACCTCGATAATAAGTGGTGTGATGTGATATGACGGGCTCGGTGGCCTTAGAGCGACTGTTTCTGCTTACTGAAAAGAACATCATGGGCTTAATCTCAGGTCCCTCCACGTCCAAGGTTTTCAAATTTAATTTTTGTCTCTAAAATATCGAACAAAAATATTTATTGTTATTTAAGTTTTAAACACTTTTTTTTTATTTTTTACTCAAAATTAGTAACAAATATTGCCGTGTGTATTTTTCCTAAAAATATTGTATTTTTCCCTAATTTGTGTCATTTCGAATAGAAGTGACGTTTTCGTGCTACAATTTATTTAAAAATGTCTAAAACGCCATTTTGAAACACGTTGCAAGATTGAAAATAGCCGAATTTTAGCACAAATGTGAATGATTGCCCATAACAAACAATATTAGATAGAGCTGGAATTAGGGTGTAACAGCTTTTGTAAACAATGACTTCTCTCGATGTATTCTCGGAAGTCATGGCTCTCCATGGCAAATCGACATCACCATCGAGTAGAGAAAGGCTTCTCCTACCCGATGAATATGTTGGTTTGTTTAGTCGTGCCTTGAATTCAGAGAAATCAACAAGAGAAGTCATTGTTTACAAAGGCAGATACGCCCTAATTCCAGCTCTATCTAGAATTGTGCAAAGTTTCATGGAAAAAAGAAGAACTGCTCAAGTGTAGCTTTTTTAAAGGCATTTTATTAAAATACCCAACCTTCATACACACTCAGCCAATCAAACTCAAACCTATACCGAAAAATCTAAAAATATGTTAAACCAGCAGTCAAGATTTCACGAATCTATCGAAAGTGTTTTTTGATACACAATATATCTTTCGATAACAACTTCACATGAGTCTATGATGTTTTAGCAAAGCACTCTCAAATTATTGATAGTTGTTTACATGTTTAACAGATCATCAATCATTAACATAATCAAGATAACATTACATACTAGCGTCGCAGTTCGTCCATTTGTCTATTTATGGAAAATCATGGTCTGTAAAATGGTCATCCTTCATCCTAAGTTAATAAATTATATCAAGGTCATTGACGGCGTCGAATTTCATTGTTTGCTGGGTGCTAGTCCCGTGTACACCACACGCCAGTAGGATATATTGACAGTTCCCCCACCACGTGTAAACATCGTCGCAGTCTACTACAATCGACATAATCCCTTATGTAGCGCCAATAAAGGTGGCGCTGGTCCATCTCTTCGCGTTTTTTGTTCCTTGCGTACATATATAGGAAAGAACGAACAAAGGCCTTTACGTTTTCCAAAAATGTGATGATGATTCACCATTCAACTCTACGCAAACCGCCACGCTTGCGTAGGCATATAAAGTTGAATTATTCATGAAATATTCGCACGTTTTTGGCCCGCTTCCAGTCGGTCAGAAAATCACGTTTTCTGCAAGCTCGTTAAACTTGGTTGTCTCGTGAGTATGTCAAATTCTTAAGAAAAATTAAAATGACACCTTTCATCGGATTATCTCTTCAAAAAAGCTCGCAACATCACCACCATTCGCTAATGGCTTCCATAAAAAATTAACACCTAGTGAGGGGTTTTTCCTAACGAATATCCTCACTGATGATGACGTTCGCCTGAATTTCGACGTATAATCATTTAAAAAAGGTGAAGGTTACTCGGAGTGGAGTGAGTGTTTCTGGAGAGAACTGGTTTTCCGCTCTGAGGAAGACATTCATCAATATTTGCGCAAATTTCTGAGAAGACGTGGGCTTCTGACTACCTGTTTGCGTCGAAGGAGTAGTTATGAGCCCAATGCCTGAAGGTAAACCGGGACTTCGGTTCTGAAATATGAGATAATTAAAATACGGATTCTTTGTTGGTGAATACGCCACTAAAAGTTAGAAGCGTATGTATCTCTAAAAATAAACCGCCATGATAAATCAAGTTCACATGTGTGTGGAGAGAAAACGAAGAGCGTCATAGTAGGTTGCTTGCTTAGCCGATCCGGTTGAGGAGGAACATTCTGCAAATCCCGCTCCTCGAGACGCGTCCGTTTGGTACCGAGAAGGAGCGGATGCCAAGTCAGCGATTTAAAAATGCGAGAAAATTGAGTTCAGACGAGGTCATTTCACTGAGTCCTGCTAGCTCGCCTTGACGCTAAAGCCATGCCACCATGCGGGCATGCATCGAGCGAACGGGTTGGAAAGGTGCTGGGGATGCTGTAACCTGTAGAACGCAGGAATGTGGCGCGAAACGTATAAGCACGTGATGCGTTCAGCACAGTGGAATGGTTGGTGGTTTAAAATTACTAGAATTGGGTGATGTAAACAAATCGATTAAAATTTCGTAATTGAATACTACTTTTCACCGTCGAATCCGACAGATGTTGCACCGTCAATTATTTGCAGTTTGGTGATTTAGGGAAAATCGGCAGTTTCTCTTCTATCGATTTCGACGTTTTGTTCTTTTAGTAATAACAATATTATGTAGAAATAATACATGAAACTAACTGCGCATTTATTTATACAATCATTTGAAATCCATGCGCCCTCTGGTGGTCAGTTCTGTCAGAAGCAGTACGAAGCATTCAATTATTAAAGCTGTCTCAAAAATGATTTAATATTGCAAACAATTGTACGCTTGCTTGCCCGACGTCAAAGCTGTGTGTACGGCATAATGCCCAGCCTACTGCGAAATAGAGTTTCTCTGACTGTATATTCGATCGAACAAACTTTAAATGACGTCTTCTAACTGCCTTTTTTTTGTATTCTGATTCTATGTTATGGAGCTAGTTCTATTGGCGAATCAAAGTTAGCTCCTATGGAGAATAGAAGAACTACAACCTTAAAATTCACTTATTTAGCGAACAAATTATCACATTAAAGCTTCATGTTAGATAGCATTTCCAACCAACTCTGAAAATCGTAAACTTCACGTATGAAGTAACATAACAACACTTTGAGTGTATTTAGAACAATTCTACGTTAGTAAAAACAACATCATTATCACATTCACAGATCTTCTATTCTCCACGGGGATAACTTTGATTTGCCAATAATCAGTGTTATTTCTCCTCAACCGGTGCATCCTCCGACTACACCTTCTACCAGAGCTCAAACACGTGCTTTGCTTTGGATTTCGTTCATCGACCACCAGACTGCGCAAATGAGCACAGTCATTATAATTTATCTTTTTTTTCTCTTCTGCTTTCCGTGGGAGCGAGAAGCAAAATAGCTAATTTTCGTTTCATTTTCCTCGTCCAGCCGAAATTTTCGAAGTCGATCGGTTTGTTGTAAAATACATACCAATCGAAAGAAGAGCACCCGGTGGTCGTCCCTGGCGTCGCAATATTTTGCACAAAGTAAATGACCTTTGGTCTGTGGTCACCACAACTTCTGCCGTCTGGGTTGCTCCGATGGGACTGACGTGGAAGTATAACCTTCGCATGAGATGAGCTGAGACAGTGGCAATGATTAGATTAGGTGTTCAGTGGATAACGTAGTAGGCGATTATTTACGCAGTACACGTTTAACGTCGAATTATTTTCGTTTTAAGTGTTCAATGTGTGTTATCAACCGCAGTATTTTTTAACCAGATTGCGACCTTGGCATTTGTCAGACATTAGGTTCCTTTTTTCAGACATACAAGTATTATAAGCATTTCGTGTAGTGTTTACAATGTGCTAATTGATTTTCCACCTTATTTCTCTCTATTCCAGTAGCGGCTCGTCGCTTAGTTTGCCAGCGAGAAGACATAAAAGTAACAATCGAAGGTGTGACAGAAGGAGGGCGTCTAGAGAATGACTACAGGTGGCAAAGGTATGTATTACAAACATAATAGACGCTTGTGCCGACTAGACCAGCAATCGAAGTCGTTTTTTTTGTCTTGCGACTGATTGAATTGTTGACAAGCAAGCTGAATTGTGTGATGATAGATACCGGCTTGACAAGGCAATCTTATCTAAGTAGTCTGTATTAACTGTGCGGAATCGAACATGGAAAAGAATATAATTTGCTTCACTACATCTACCACTTATTTTTGCTTTTGAGCTGAGTGGTAAGTAGTAAAAGGTGCCACGACATTGAATAACACCCAGAGTGCAGTCAGTCAGTAACAGGCTGTGTATTTGTCGATTGTCTGATTGTGAATAGCAGCAACAGGTACAACAGAAGTGACACTGACACCTACCATCAGTAGGCTACGCTCAGAGGAATTGTAATAAATGTTGCTCACGTTTCAAGTGCCATTGTGCAACACAGCGTGCGAGAAGCTTGTTGAACCTATTATAAAATGCAAAATCCATTCCGCGTTTTACGGCCCCTAACGGATCTACAAAGAAAATAGCGTTTAAAAAAAAATAGTTGTTTGCATAAGCACTTTTTGTTGAATCATAAAACGCTTGAAGAAAGATTGTCAAATAATCTCTCTCTTTTCAGTCATGTTTGAGCTTTATTTTAGAATTTAGGTACTTTTTTACCTGATTTAAAAGTGCGAATAAGTTCGATAATCTTTCAATGAGGAATTAATCTCAACTGATCATTAGAGAAGTGATTTTCATTTTTGAATAATTTTACGTCATCTTCTACCCGTACTGTTGGCGTACAAAGTCAATCACTCGGCGAGTGTTTAAAATACACAAAAATGACGAACGATCGCCGGAAAAAACAATTTCAAGTGGAGCTATTCTTATCGACAGCGATTGAGCGCTGAAAGTACGTCAGTCAGAACAGTTCGTTTCGTTTTACTGCGAACACATTTCTATTGTCACATAGTATGTTTAGCGCAACCAAATTTCTGATTATTTTGAACCTGAGTTTGATAAAAGTCCAATTTTAAACATTCTACAAGCACCTTGTAATCAAACATTTGATTATGAACAGTGGTAAAAAAAACAAATCTAAGTTGGCTGTATAGATGGCCGCGGGTTAAGAAAAAATACATCAACAACCTGTCAATCATACAGGTCAACACAGGCTGTGGCGCAAATCATGCGCAAACTGTGACTCTTTCGTGACTTGGCGCTTCGGCGTAATTTTACTTGTTTTATTTCCTTTCGCAAGGCTGCAAAAAATCTTTGCAATTTATTGTTATTCTTAGAAACCGGTTGCTCGAAAAACTGACTGAGTTCGTTATCAATGAATTTGTGCGAATAGGCGTACCTACCCTCGCTTGACGACAGGGTCGAGAGGAGAAAAACGTAGTCAGGTGCAGTGAAGTGCCATGTTGCGTGTGATAAGGAATTTGACAATAATATGAATCAACGCGAAGGTACTTGAACAGTAGCAACCATATTTCATGTCCCTCTGTGTGAAAGTGAAAGTTGTTCAACATGAAATTATTGCATTATACCAGAAACAGCCTTGGATTCTTTTCTTATAGTGTTTTGTTTTCACTTAACAATTTGTGAACAAGAATTTTTCGAATCCGGTTTTTAATTGAGACATGATTTTGCGTTCGCTTTGCAAATTAATTGTATACATATTAATCTTAGGCTTTATTGTGTCAGTAAAAGATCTCTGGTGTTGTTGTTTCTAAAGTCGTTTATCAACAGGTTGCCAAATGATGTTATTGAAGATTGAAGTTTCGTCAGCTTTTGTTTAGTATATATGGGTTGATAACAACAAGCTGGTTGCTAATAATTGATGTAATAAACAAATTAATATCACTTGCAAGCGGCGAAATGATCACTGAATGGAAGAATCTTGGATGATCACAGTAATTGGATGCACTATAAGCATTATTGTATTGTGGTGGAAAACGTCATGAATATCTTTAAAAAATCCACAACTTGTGGTTGCGACTTCGCTGCATGTACTGACAGCAGGTAATCCAATTACGATTTTATATACGTCTCTCATCCGAGACAACAATACGACAATGTCATGTCGAGTTGTTATCTGCATCCGATGCCAATGCCAACTGAGGTACGGCTGACAGCGAATGTAATTAAAATCACATTAATACAATCCACTCGATGTAAAATTCCAGCGTGTGATGTTTCGACATCCGTATTCTGGAGATCATTGTTTTTCACTGCCACATACGACCACGTGGCTACCGTTGATACGCAAAAGGTCTCGCAATAATGCTCGTGACCATGCGATTAGCATAAATATGGGTAGAAATTGGAATCAATTTAAAATATTTGTGTGATTTAGCTTTTACAATACAGAATCGTTGGGGGCTTGTCTACTTCGATCATTGACGTAAGTACAGTCGTCCAAGGCCTGCTTGGGTTCTCAGATGGAGTTGTTTATCAGCAATCGTTTCTAATAAATAACCTCTTCCAGTCGAATGTAATAAATAGAGCTATTTTCCTGTTTTTGTATTGCTGGATGTGTACGGTAAAGTAAACATTCAAAGTTCATTTTGCAAGAATAGGGCGAGTGTAGCGTCATGCGATGTTGTGACGAGTATAAATCAAAGATTGTTGTTTATTTTGCTTCTATAGTCCACGTGATATGTGTTGTAGGAGAATTCTGAAATGGAATTTAATTTACATTAAATTATTGTGCATGTTTTCTACATTGTCGCCATTTACTCTGTATAATGTCACATCGATTACTGCGTATCAGCTCATGTAACACGTGTTTGTATAGATGCGGTCATTGTCCGTTGATTAACACTTTTAGTGTACACTCAACTGTTACATAGACAATAGCCAACGTTAAAAAATGTGCTGGCCATTAAAAACGTATGTAACAAAATATTAATTCCACAAAAGTGTTGATTATTTTTGCGCTTAATTAAAATGTTCAAAAATGAAGTCATAACTCGTTAAGAAATATCCAACGTCATTCAGCTTGCCCAGTCATCAGAGGCGAGCCCACGTCTGATAAAAAATACGACGCCAAATAATAATAAAAAAAAAACACGAATCGACAAACGCCGATTTAATCGAATTTCAATGTCAAGACGCAGTGAACTGTCGCATGGCACCCTCACAAATCATCTTTGGTGGCGTGGCATCACGAAGCATGTATCGGTTAACCTACACTGATAGGCAAAATAAAGTGCCCACCCCATCATTTTTTGAATTTCTCTCATTTATTTGGTTCAAATTAAAGTAAATACACTGTAGTATTTTTTATATCTTATTCTTTATATTCTTTTTAAGTTTCACTTATAGAATACCAGATAAAAAGAAGAGACTGACTCGAAGAAAAAAAAATCAAAATGGGTGTAAAAAAGAACAGTGACAAAAAAAAGTGCCCACTGCATTTTAACTCCAGAAAACATAAAATAAAGTAAAAGAATACCAGCCTAATAGTTAATGTGTCCTCCTTTGGCCTTCAGGACCAGCTGCAGGCGCTTCGGCATGCTCTCCACTAGATTCTTCAGGTGCTGTGGATCTAGTTCTTCCCAGGCGCGCTCCAGGGCTTCAAAATAGTTATTTTTATTGGTAACACCAGTTTTGTCAACCCTGGCATCGAGAATCGCCCACAAATTCTCGATGGGGTTGAGGTCCGGGCTTTGTGGAGGCCATTCCAGTGGTTTAATTCGACATGACCGGAAGAAAGACTTAGTCTTCTTGGCAGTATGCTTCGGATCGTTGTCCTGCTGGAATACGAATTTCTCCTCAAGGCCCGTCTGGATCAGCGAAACTTCCAGATTTTCCCGCAGGATGTCGATGTAGGAATCTGCCGTCATTATCCCGTCGATTTTCACCAGGCTTCCCACTCCACCCCACGAAAAGCACCCCCAGACCATCACATTTCCTCCTCCATGCTTCACCGTGCCTTGTATGTGGCCCTCCTGAAGCTCCTCACCCGATCTACACCACACACGAACCCGTCGCTTCCGGTTGAACAGTTCGAATTTTGATTCGTCCGTCCAGAGAACCGTTTTCCAGAACTCTAGGGGCTTATCAGCATGCTCCTTAGCAAACTTAAGCCGTTTGACTTTGTTTGCCTTGCTGATAAATGGGCGCTTCCGAGCAACTTTGCTGTTCAACCCCTGTGCTACGAGACGGCGACGAACAGTTCGACTGGAAACTGTTAGCTGAAGAGCCTCCTGGATCTCGCGGACAGTTACCTTCGGGTTCTTCTTCACTTCACGCATGATCTTGGTGTCCGTTCTCGCATCCGTTTTGCGCATCCTGCCTCTGCCAGGGCGATCCACCACTGATCCGAACGATTTCATTTTCTGCAGAATTTTCCCGACCGCTGTTTTGCTGATATTGTACTTCCTAGCGACAGACCGGTGCGATTCACCGTTTTGCACATCACGAACAACCAATTTTCGGATACACACGGGAATTGCTTTCGAAATCACTACGTCCTCCATTTTTTTCAACTGATTCAAATGCGATCACGTGTACAAATGCACCAGTTCCACCCGTTTGCTTCAATACATGTCAAACTTTCAAAACAAAAACAATCGAGGGGTTTTCCGATGGAAACTTATCGAAAACATACCGATTTTTGAAGTGGGCACTTTTTTTTGTCACTGTTTTCTTTTTCAATCCAAATTGATTTTCTTTTACTTCAAGTAAAACTTTATATTTTCAGTATTCCATAGGTGTAACTTTAAAAGAATAATAAAGGTAAGACATCGAAACAGACTACGGTGTGTTTATTTGAATTTGAACCAAATAAATGAGAGAAATTTCAAAAATGATGGGGTGGGCACTTTATTTTGCCTATCAGTGTAAATATTTCATTGATAAATAAAATTTCTCACTTTCGAGAACATTCGTCATCGAAGCAGGCTGGCAGTTCAATAACAATTCGTAGTAGGCTGACTTTAGCAAACACCAACTGGGATGGATGAAGGCGCTACGTCCCGTGGTATATGGTAACAGTCAGGGTTCAATTTAAACTCACGTTAATTGACCCCTACCGACCCGAGAGAAATTTGTTTTCATTTAATCAAATCGTCTGGTAGATAACTGTTGTGCCATAAACAACAAGGCGAAACAATCGTGGCCTCGGGTTGATTCTTTGAATAAAATCATTTCAAAAAGACATGGAGCAGCAGCTTTGAAAACGGCGTATACATTGAGATTAAGCGTTAATCTGTTGTTGGTAGTGTGAATGTAGCCTTTTCGGTGGAATAGAAGCACTCAATTAATTTCCATTTTGCATGTCATTGTTGTTTATCATCATAGTGTTATAAATCTTGAACGCACAATTATCACCAACTGTTGCGCATGAACGCTTTATGTTTGTGTTGTTGCAAGATAGACTGACAAGCAAGGGCTTTATTATCACCAAAATATTCAAAATAATTAACATCTCGCTGTAACTGGTCTTTACCACATTCGATGAGTGGCACGCTTCAGTGATCACAATGTAGACGGCAATAATGGCATTTAGCGCGAATATTTAAATTTGTTTGGCAAACTGTTATTTTGATTCACGTGAAAGTTGTATTTTTTCCATTGGATTTATTGCACATTCATTACCTACTAAAATTGCCAAAGCGGATGTGAAATGCACGAAATGTTTCTATAAGTAAAAGTAGCATATTTCTTGTTTTGAAAACTTATATGTTGTAAACTGAAACGTTTGGTAGGAAGGTTCAAAAAAACTCATGTAATCGAGACCAATATAAATCAATTGGTACACTAGATAAAAACAGCATATGTCTGTCGGGAAAAGTGTGTATGTAGAACAACTATTAATCAAGATACTGATTGAAACATACGGTTTGTCACTGCAGTAGCAACGACGCTCATCGCATTCTTCAATGCCCTATCATCATTCGGCCGCTCATAATCATAACTTGTACCTACTCACATAGGAAAATGTGTCATCTTTGATTACACTCCTTACAACTGTTATGTGATGTGACACCAATTTACTACTCCTGCTGACTATACGGTTGCGAAGGTGACCATCAACGTAAACACATACGTCCACGCATACGTCATATATGTAATTGTAATTTGAGCTCAGATTTCAGGTTCACATTCATGGCATCCTGCAACTGTTTGTGGACCGCCTGCTGCGTTTGTTAACACTTCCTATGCACGATTGAAAATACGCACCATATGTCTAAAATGTCCATTGATGACTGATAAGGCCGTGCTCGGTCGTTCACGTTGATTTAACGGAAAGAGAAAGTTGTATGCACCAACAAAACGAGAATTATTGCGTATTTACCGAGCGGTTCCCACAGTTCAATGTCAAAGTGGTTTCTATTTTAAGATTTTTCCACCTCAACTGTTGTTTTACGCAAAAAAAAATCGGGTAGGCAAATTATTACTCCGATACTTCCTACTTAGTTTACCTTATCTGTGGTGTCACACAATTCGTCATCTTTGGCTTTAAAAAAATCGCGTGACGCACTTGGCAGTAAAACGGTTATATTTAAACATGAAGATGCTGTAACAGGTCACGTCATATGACACGATAGTCATGAAAAGTTAATTGAAATAAATTGAAGTGGGACAGATAGTTCAACTCCTAATTGTACACATTTAAATTTGTTTATCACTTTCAATGTCACGCTGTGAATGATTTACTGTTTGAATTTAGTTCTAGATGGATATTATTGACCAAATTGACCTTATTGTCCGGGTTGATATGTTTATGACTATGACTTTCTTTGGAGGCCAATTGAGGTCTTCTGTATTTCTGAAGATGCTTTTTGAATTGACTCAAGCGATCTTCTGGAGGATTCTCAAGAAATTGCAAAAACTTCCGTAAGATCATAGTCATTTATACGAGCAACCTAATAGTGAAGTTTGAGACTTGTAAGGTAGTAATCAATTAATCAATTAATCAAATAAACCAAACGCCATTTTTGCTGAGATCTTAGCAAAATATGCTCAGCTGTGCAAATTTTGGTAAAATTTTTCGTGATTCGGCAAAATATAAGGGTGTAGGAATTGAATTTGCAGCAATCAACGATACGATTCAGTTATTCATTTACTCTGTTCAAGATATACAAAATGAGTTGGATTTCATGTTATTCATTGTTATTCATTACCTTTTTGAAAAAAATGGAGAGATTTGAAGAGAAATTTATTTCTATTTTTCATTTGTTTCTTTCAGGTTGGCTAACATGTCGCCAAGTGTTGAACATCATGGTCATTTTCGGCTTTATGCTGAACTATGCCCTGCGAGTCAACTTCACCATTGCAATCGTAGTGATGGCAAAATCGCTGAAGAATCTCACAACCGGTGGCATGGACGAAGGTCTACTGGGGAATGAAACCTCGACAGCCTTGGCTTTGGGTGTGGCCTCGACGACCGAGATGAGCGCCGTCAACGAGGAGGACAAGTTTGAGTGGGACGCCTATCAGCAGAATCTGATGCTCGGAAGCTTTTTCTGGGGCTACGTGCTGACGGAGCTGCCTGGAGGCCGTCTGGCGGAGATTGTCGGAGGACGCCGCGTCTTCGGATATAGCATGCTGTTCGCTAGTGTATTGACTTTGCTTACTCCTATAGCTGCTTACACCAATTATATTGCGGTAGTTATATTGCGAGCTGTTCTAGGCTTTTTCCTGGGAGCATCCTGGCCGGCGATTCATCCGTTGACTGCCGTCTGGATTCCACCGATGGATCGGTCCAAGTTTATCGCTAACATGATGGCTTCATCACTCGGTGCAGCTATCACCATGCCAATCTGTGGCTATCTGATTGCTACCGTTGGATGGCAGTCGGTGTTCTACTTCACCGGTGGGCTGGCCCTGGTGTGGTCGGTCATTTGGTTCTTAATAGTGTTTGAAACTCCGGCTTCTCATCCACGCATCTCTGCTGAGGAACTTAACGAGATCGAAACAGCTATCAGTGCTGTCTCCAAGGCTAAGAAACCTACGTACGTTCCGTGGAAATCGATTATCACTTCGCCACCGGTCTGGGCAATCATCCTGACCCATGGTGCATCCGTGTTTGGCTTCTTCACTGTCGTGAACCAGCTGCCAACATACATGAAGTACATCCTGAACTTCAACATCAAAGAGGTAAGCATTTATATGTGGACATTTTGGAAAACAAATCCTGGAAATCTGAGACCAAAAAATAATGGCATTTCTGTTGGAAAAAAAAAAATACTTTGGCAACACTGAACGAATACAGAGAAAGGTGGTAGCTACTAAACCCTCACTATAGTATACTATATTATATTATAGTTTCTACTATTCACTGTTTCCATCTAAGGTAATCTATGTTAACCCAATGTTGCCAAACAAAATTAATAAATCAAAAAGCTTAGTTCAGGGTTTGAGTATTTAACCTAGCTTAACATGTAGACTAGGGTGCTTCATCATGAAAAAAAAAATGTTTGCTATAAATGCAGCCATCCTCCGTTTGATTAATTTATAACTTCAAAATATTAGTCAGTACAATGCAATCAATGATAAAGGCTTATGAAGGTTTAGCAGTTTAAATTTCGGATATTTCTAAATTTCGCTGTCAAAATTAAGTATGTGGTTGCTAAGACAATGATTAACATGGCTGCCTTTTTTACGTTTGATTGTAGTTCATAAGATATTGTTCGTTCTACTGAAAATCTATGCGAGCTTTTGGTTGGCAGCACTTCTCGTTAAGTGAAAGTATTAAAATACGTAAACATAACAAAATTGAGTAAATTGATGGTTAAATAGTGTTGTGCCTGTGAAAAATATGAATTTCATTACAACAAAGACACAAACTTGTTGACTATTGTCAACAAAACAACCATGCATTCAATTTGACAGCCATTGGACAACTTGAATCTCGACTTTACTCAAAGATAGAGTGATATCAGTGAAATTTAAGGACACGAGGGAATTCTTTTTCCATACAATTGACCACTTTGTCAAGCAGTTTTGGCGTGACTTTCTACCAGCGATTTCACAAAACTGAACCAATTAATTTCTATTTTTTTGTGAAACGCACAAATGTTGGCTACTTTTTTCGAGGTTCTAGAAGAAAAAATCTCAAAATAATGTTTCATTTCAAAGTTCGAGTGGTAGTAAACGTCATTTTATCTGCTCGAATGAAGTGGTTAATTTGCTTTACCACTTCGCATTTTCAAGCGCCCTCATCTGGCGATCTACTCAATGTACAACATTCAACATGAATCTACAAGTTTGTTGTAGAGAAGCAAGCATAGTGCTTAATTTTCGGATCTGCATGACTTCTTGATGGCGAGATTAGTGCCAGTGAAAACACGAAGTGTAGAAATTCCGTGAACTTTACCCTTAAAAATCTCCCATAGTAATTCATCAAAATCTCCATGCAACCCCAAGTAACCAGTAAGCTCGCTATTTACCTTTTTTAGCAATATAAGGCTGATATACGGCTAATATAAACTTTGAAAGCCCCATACTTATTAACAATATGTTTCAAAAACTGTGATTTACAGACAGTTCGTGGGTTTGGTGGTTACTCGGGATCTTTAAATCTTTTGCGTTACCCCTAAACCATCATCAATCTTTGCCATTTTTTGCACTGATTTTTGACTTGGGGCTATGAATCGTATTGGAGACCGATGATTTAATTTAGTTAACCCTTTAAGTTATGTGTGTGAGGAATTTTTAACTTTTTTTGTACACCGTGTTATTGAAATGGGAGCTGGGTTACGATTCAAAATTTTCCCCATTATACCATGACCTACTATTAGACGTAATTATTCGCAACTAATCACCGATTAATTTCAGAATGGTCTGCTGTCGTCTCTGCCGTACTTTGGCAAATACGCCATGGCTGTGATATCTTCCCACCTGGCCGATCATCTGCGTAAGAACGGAACACTTTCAACCACTGCCACTCGCAAGATCTTCACTGCTTTCGGTTAGTACCCGTTCTGTGTGCAGACTGTAACTGTAGTTCAAAATACACGACTAACTTGTACCACGTTTATTCAACAGCTGTCATGACACCCGGATTCCTGATGATTGTCCAGGTGTACATGGGCGAAAGCCGTCACTGGGCCGTTGGCATCTTCACACTGGCTTTGTTCTTGAACGGTGCCGTCACCGCCGGTTACTTGGGCAACGGTTTGGACATTGCACCGAATTTCTCCGGCACGATCTTCGGTATGGCTAACACACTATCCTCATTCGGTGGTTTCGTGTCCGCTTACATGGTCGGCGTGCTGACTAATGACAATGTGAGTATTGTTGATCTAAAATTGCATGTCTTGGACGATCTATAAAACCCTATTACAATAAACTTTCCTATTTTCTCGACAGCAAACTTATGGCCAGTGGCAGATTGTGTTCTGGATCTTAGCGATCATCTATATCGTCGGTTCCTCGGCATACCTCATCATGGGCACCGGTGAGTTGCAGCCATGGAACAATCCACCGGAGAAGGGCGGCAACAATTGTGAGACTGAAGAAGGTGTACCATTGAATCAGCAAGTCCAAAATAACAAACAAATCTCATCGTCCTAAGAAGGAGTGCGCGTACAGTTAGAATATACTGCTGTGGCGGGCAGCTGGATATAGGATCAATTATCAGATGTTAAAACAAGGTCGTGTAGCTTTCCCACCGGAAATGATGCGATCGGTTTTATAGAACTAGATACTTATTTGTTTCTCTGCGAATCACAACCATGTCTGCCGAGGACTTGGAAGTGCGGGATGTAAATTTTAATTTGTTTACTTTTTTAATGCGACACAAAAGAATGATAGTTTTAATTAATTTGCGTGAGTGATTTCTTTTACCTTAGATGAGTACTACTTACAGTAGATTTCAGAATGAGACAGGTAGATTTTCGTGATTTGCTATAGCATTTAATAATTTATTTTGTTAAGAGTGAATCGAGACGAAAAGCAAATCAGTGGTAGTATTTGAGTTTATTGTGAGTTATGTTACGTTGCTGTTACAATGCACAGATGTTTACATCGCTCCGATCGTGCAATCTTATTGTTTCGATCGAAATCATCTGTGAACGACCGTATGGCTGGATAAACCATAAGAATCACAGTGTGTAGAAAAGAGGACCGTTTGAGCGAGAATGTGATTCTATTCGAAATGTGTGCTAAATATCTCACCTCTATAAGATAAACACCCCTTTTCTGCATTCCGTTCGAAACGGATTTCCCATACAAACATTTTTTTTTGTATGAAAATTCCGTTTCAAACGGAATACAGAATAGGGATGAAAATTCAAAGTTCTCGTTCAGATTTCAATTGGTACTGCTAGAGTTTTCATGTTTTAGTGAAGACGGTCGGTAATTTGCATTTTGTGAAACTGAAAGTAGTATCCAAATGCAAGCTGATGAGCCTTTAATTTTGCAAAAATAAAAACTAGAACAACAGCGAAGATAATCATCGAAATTCTCTGATTGTCCCATGTAAGGATACATCCATTATGAACCGGAATTCAAACTTATATAAATAAATCGCGGGTAGCCATTTCAAACACGTGCCTTTCTACTGAAATGGTATCAGAAGCAGAAAACAAGCCAAGTGCACTTTGAAACTTTACATATACCTATATACAATAGAATAGAACGATGTGTATACTCTCAAATAATCAAACAGACAAAAAATGGCCACTTGTCAACAGTTATTTTTAGGGTCCTTTTATTTTATTTACAATGATCAATAGAAAAAAGTAGAAAAGTATACAAAAGTTTTTAAATTACTCAATTTTAACAAACGGAAATAAATGTTAGAAACTTGCACTGTGGGTATTAATTTTGAAAGAAACTACATTATTGCATTGGATCATTTGGGTTAAGAAACGTTTACTCGTATTGTTCAATGTAAAGAAAGCGAGAAGGGTTTAGTAATTCATGTTTGATTTTAGGTATTAGGAGTTAATCCACACTCATCATTCTCTTCTACCATCCTGTTATGCACAGTGGTTGCTCGCTACACCGAGGGGGCGACATATCTAAATCTCAATTGTAGATGCTCAACAAATTTCACACTAGCGAATCAATCTTCGAAAAATCTTCTTTCATTTCTCGCATCTACTTGCATCGCGCATCACCTTTTTGCAGGAAATCTCCAGCATCGTCATCAATCTTCTTTCTATATACTCAGCGTGCGCGCAGCTAACCACAGCAAAACACATTTTTCCTACATCGTAGATAGAGTCGCCCCCTCGCGCTACACAGTGTTTCAAAAAAAAAAATGACCTTATTCCTGAATGGACAACTTTTTGAAACACTGCACAGTGGAGATTTAAGGAACAGAGAGGATCAACATTGGCTGCCACTGGCCAATTATGTTTTACATAAAGTATATGTTTTTATAATGGAAAATTCCAAGCCATCGATTCTGATTGCGCACACTACGGTAAGTACGTATTTTTGGCATTTTCATTTAAACGCTTTTAACAATCTATTTAGTCAGAAAAGTTTAGTAGAACGTCCCAATTATGTTTTTCACAATCAATAGGTTACCGTTGGGAAACTTTTAGGAAATTTATAGAAGACTATGGGGTCAAACAAGCCAAATATATGTCAAACATGTATAAAGATATATTTTAACTCTATTTAGAAAAAAAAACAATGTTTACAATCTATAAAACATTCAGTAAATTATATTTTATTCTGAAAAGTGCCAGAACAAAAGATGTTCCATACAGCTTAAAATTATCAAATCCGTCTATTATAATTAGTATGCTTACTGTGTTTCAATAGTTACTCAGTTTAATCCTTAAGAATACATATGGGCGAGAATAAGGAACACACGGAAAAGCTTAAATAAGTACTGACTATTTAATGATAAATTGACAAACATGAGACGGTCCGATAAGTTGTGGATCAACTGTGCTACTATGAGAAAGAGATGGTTAAAAACCGAAAATAAGCCAGCAGCAAGTTTTGAGATCATTTTGCACTCGTAGACCAGGTAGTGACCAGGTAGACCAGGTAGTGACCAGGTAGAAAAAATTGCCTTATTCGAGAATTTTCAGTTCATTCATGGAATTTTGGGGTTGAATAGGCTCAAAACAGCTTTTTTTTTTATTTATTTTTTGGGAGGTTAGTTCATCTCCGAAATGAAATTATGCCATTTACCTGAATAAACAAATATTTTATACTGGGATTTTTGTTGGTAGATATTTTTTAAACCTTTTTATCCCTACAATCCCCACTGTCCACTGTGAAAATATAGATTTCTGGACATACTCCAGGAGGACCTGCAAGCCCTGGGAGTTTTCAAACGATGCGTCCTTAGAATCATCCTTGGGCGGGGTATTTGAAAACGGTGTATGGAGAAGAAGAATGAACCACGAGCTGGCGCCCCTCTATGGCATACCAAGTATCCAGAAATTCACTAAAGCTTGAGGGGTGCAATAAGCTGGACATGTTGTAAGAATGATCTCGCAAAAATGATGTTTGCCTCGATACCGGCGATACAAGACACAAAGGAGCGCAGTGAGCTACACACTTAGAAATTATCGCTGACTTCGGTAATTTTTACCGAAATCTGAACAGCTGAACTGTTCGGTAAAATTTATGCAATTCAATTCAATTGCTTTTCAGCTATTTTGAAACTGAATCTCCACTAAAATGACAAAATTTGATCATTTAAACAAAGTTGAACATGTTTTAAAATTATTTTCAAATTCAATAGCATTTAAAATGAAGGTCAAAGTTTTACCGAACATTCAGTTGTTCTGTCATTCCCACAGTGGGAATGACACTGATGAAGACTGCACATTGTAGTCGAAATACGTATCTGTCATGGATACCAAACTTAATTAAGTGGAATTAAATGGAAGATAACCTTTTTTGCTGTTTTATTTAGCATTCCGCTAACAACCCAATTTCATTACTTCATTATGATGGCTACCAAGCCTTTGGGGATTTTCCTTATTAGAGAGTTGTATAGATTTTTCTCCTTTAGCTTACTTAAATCTTTGGTTTTTATTAGTTAGGTAGGTTCCGATTCAACACATTGTAGTTTCATTTTTATACCTATGATCTTGACTTTTTTACCTAGGGGATGAGTACTTAAGGGGGTTAGATTTTGATAAGTTCTTTAGTGGGAATGACACTGATGAAGACTGCACATTGTAGTCGAAATACGTATCTGTCATGGATACCAAAATTAATTAAGTGGAATTAAATGGAAGATAACCTTTTTTGCTGTTTTATTTAGCATTCCGCTAACAACCCAATTTCATTACTTCATGTTATAACGGTTGTCAAACAATTGCAACACAGAACTCACCATCAAGATAGCGCTATAACATGTTATAACTCTGTAGTCTGAACGTACTATTAAACGCTGTCCAGACTGGAGAGTTATAACATGTTATAACGGTTGTCAAATAATTACAACACAGAAACCACCATCAAGATAGCGCTATAACATGTTATAACTCTGTAGTCTGAACGTAGCATAACATGTTATAACCATAGAGGTAACTCTAAGACCACAGAGTTATAACAACAATCAATACGAAACTAACGATTTTAAATTGGCTCACCACTTTAGTAGCCTATTGGTCCCAAGCAAACGATTAACGTACCCTATTCTAGTTGAAATTCTATTACTACACTATGTTTGTTTTGATTCGCTATGAAAGTTTGACAGATAACATCAGGGGTGTGTGGATTCATGCAGAACATGCAGGGGTGAGTGAAATAGCTTGGGACTGCTTGGGACCGTTGTTCTGGTACTGAGTGAGCCAAAAATAATAATGATTTTCTTCGGGACTCAGTGGTCTTAGAGTTACCTCTATGTTATAACTCTGTAGTCTGAACGTACTATTACATTCAAATTAAATAATTTATATTGAGCAACTTCTAATTTTTTATCGGGTTGTTGCTCTACCGCCAACGAAATTGCGCTACTGGCATCTCTCGAGTCTGCGACCATTCCCTCGGTAAGGAAAAATGACAACACTCGCAAAGTGTCAAAATAAGAAGAAAAAAAAGTAAAAGCAAACGAAAAGAAGCAAAGAGGGGTGCTTTCATCTTATTGCTCTCGGTCTCACGCATCCGCTTAAATTGATTAATATTTCGGCCTTCAAATCGGTGTTTGCAAGTGGCAAAAATCGCGTAATCCGTCGGTATAGTACCAAAGTGCCCTGCCCAAGTTGCCGTTGCATGTGGTGCAGCAGTCCTGTGGAAGTTTGGCACCATCAGGAGCGAGTGTTGCACCGGTAGTTGTTCGAGACATTTCCGATGGCGTAACAAGAAGGAGTGACCATTTAGTAGTCGTCGCCTTTTTCTTGCTTGATTCAAGCTTGGCAGTGTTTTCTGTGTGTGCTGTCGGTAAGTATCATTAAATTAATCAAACGTTTTGCTTGCTGGTAGAGAAACGGAAATGTCCCCGTGGATGTGCATTTTTGGGAAACTACCATATTTTGCATTATGGCCTATCCCGGATGCGACGACACCCAAATTCAGGAGAACGAGAAAACGAAAGGAAAACAAACAAAACTATAATATACAGCAGTTGGGACGCTAACTTCTGCTGATTACGAACGATGTATGTATGTTGGAGTACTGCTAGGAATTCGATGTATGAATAATGATTGTCACGGGAATACTCATTCGGATGAGTCAAAGTTTGTTTTCGTCGTTGTATCTACTGCTGATAGGAAGCAGCCTGCATGGTCACAAAGCAATTCCCAAAAGGTTCTATTTCTATCGCTGTGTGGAATTATGATAAAAACGAAGTAGGGTTGGTTGCGATTTACCGTATGATGAAGTATTCTTGAACTTGAGTATTTCGTGATACCGCGGTTTAGCTTTTTAAACTATTAAATTAAGACGAGTGATTTCATGGAATTGTGAACTCTCTTAGCTCAATTATTGGTTGAAGCCATAAAATCGTAGTTCTAAAGCAACACCAATATGAAAAGACTTTATTTTATTGAAAGAAAACTGATTCAAGTAATTATTAACCCTTTTGATTAAATAATTCGATTATTTTCAATAAACGCACAAGAATCCGAAGTCTGAGAGAATATCTGTATATTCCGCTTCGGTCAATGATGTGGCCCAGACCAGAAAGACACTGTAATGTCATGAATGTTGCCAAATTTTTGGAGCAGCTGTCTTAAAGTAAAGCAAGGTAAAATTGTTCCAATTAATAGCAGATTCAAAATTTCCAAAATTATGCTAAAATGTGAGTTTTACAATTACAACGTTTACTGGTATTTCAATCAACAGTTCAATTTAAAAAAGGTTCTATTATCTTTGATTAGAAACTGTACAAAATGTTTGTATTACAAACATTGTCGTTCGAAAACTGATATTATTGTCAAAAATTTCACCCAGTATCGTACTTTTTGTTTCCAAAAAGTTAAAATTGTCGCTTAATTGAGCAGAACCATTATTATCCCACAACACACACCATGCATAATTAACAACCAGGAATGAAATAGCATCATTATATAGTGACCTTGTTGCAGACCAGCGCAAATGAACGGTAAAAGATGAGGTGGGCTAGCAGAGTGATTAGAGGTCATCTTCGCTTATGGAGGAGCTTGTGCTATATCTAGTTCTATCCCAGCATAAGCACGTACTGACTGTGGTTATGGTTGGACCCGAGACTGAAGCTCTATACATACCTCCACATGCTACATAGCATGAAGTAGAAGTGGTAAGCTGCTTACAAAGGAAGTATGACGCACAAAGTAGCATTGAGACCGCTGAGGGAGGCTGGCGAACGAATGAGCGCGAAATATGTGACGATTGCACTTTACACTTTTATCAGCTCCACACTTGCAAGGAGGTGGGGGCTCGTTCAAATGCATTACTAGGCATGTGATGAAAGGAGCGTGACTTTTGCAGATGAAGTCGTTGTCGTCGTCGTCGTCGTCGTCGTCGTCGTCGCAGAGCAAACAGTTTCACGAAAGGCTCCGTATGGTGCTTGTGAGGTGGCGTAATAACGCTTCAATTAATATTGATCGAGAAGGAAAATTCAAAAGCGGTTTGCAAAATTATCATGTACTGCCGAGTTTAAAAGGGTACAGTACCGGTCAAAAGTATATAACATAATATTTGTCTTATCACTATCTTTTTGTGATTCAAAATTATACAGAATAAAAGATACAGCAATTTTGCTAAGGTTAACTACAGTAAAATAAAAACTCGTTTTAAAAGTTATGTTTTTATTTTTATTTTTTTTCCTTTGGTTTGTTTTTTCCGTCGATCTTGTTTTCCGTGCTGAGCACCAATGCTACCGACGTGCCAGGAAGGCAGCTCCCACACCTGGACCCTACCTATCGACCCATCAACTCATGAACCGGGGACCAACGGCTTTACTTCCCATCCGAAGGAAGGCGTGATCAGAGATGTTATGCCTCAGAACATCCCGGCGGCGCCGACTGGGATTGAACCCAGGCCTGCTGGGGTGAGAGGTAATCACGCTTACCACTACACCACCGGCGCCGTTATGTTTTTATTGATCCGTATCCAAATATAAATGTTATCCATGGACAAGTACAATAATAATAATACACGAAGTGGATAAAAATATGCTGTTCAACACACCTAGTAGCATCAGCTTATTTATTGAAAATAATATGAAGAATCAATTTTTGGTATTATTTAGCTTAAAATATGTTATTTTTTGTTTTTTTTTATATTAATTCTTTATTGATGAGATTTTTAGCCGTAGGCTAGTTCACCTAAGAAATGTTTGATTTGATTGTGTTATAAAATTCGATAAAAACAAAAATATTTTTTTTTGTAAACATTTTATTCTCTGGCACTTGGTGCTTGGCGTGCTCTTGCATTTCCCTTCGTTATGAGATGACCACAACTGCGCGTGATCTATTGTTCGATAAGTCACGCCTTTGTTCACGCGAGTGTGGTGTATTCGTAAAAGAATAGATACCGAAACCACCTTCGATCATGCAGTGTTCAAAATTGATCTTTGAATGATCGCAGTGAACGATGAGTTCCGGGTAGTTTTCTGCCATTTCTGAATCAAAATAATGCATAGGTGGTGCAATTTGAATTCATAATGTATGAATCCGGAACATTGGAGATCGATCATGGCTAGATTTGTTGAGTTTGTTCCAGTTGAAAAACATTTTTATAAATGTATTATCATTGCTCTTGATTCCCGTTTGCTATACGGCGGAATAACCTCGATCGAGTGTGATCTATTGTTCGGTTGTTGCGGTTAGGTACGTGTGAATATTTGGGTTCGATTTCTAGATTACATGAAGGTCAAACTGGTGCTGTTTGAATTCGCACCTTATTAGAAGCAAATGAAAAAAAAATGTTTAATTTATTATCATTATTGATTTCCACTTGTTGTCCTATTGTTTGGTTGGTGTGGTTGTATATGTATGATGAGTTAACCGTTTGTTCATTTGAAGTGTTTTTTTGTTACTTCATACGTGAAGTTTACGATTTTCAGAGTTGATTGGAAATGCTATCTAACTGGAGAGGGTATGGGGGCAACCCGCATAAACGCGAACCATAACTTGACCTTACCGAAAATGGTTTAAAAAAATTATAATCCCTGCTAAATTTTAACTGAAATGATTATAGAACTTCACATGAAAGTTTGTGTGATAAAGTTTTAGCCTTATGTATTTGGTTTTTTGGAAGTGGACCTTACAAATAATGGGTTGTTATTCAAAATAGTTGTTTTCTCCATACATTTTCGGAAAAGGAATTATATTAGAACCTTTTTATATATGATTTTATAACTTTAATGGTAATGGTTATGGTAGTCAGTAAGGGCCATGGATGGTTTTGTATTATCGGTCAACTTTACGTTTAATATATCGCGAATTGGTAATCATTAATTTACAGACTATGTTATGTTACGTTATGTTATATAATATGCTTCATGTTAGATAGTATTTTCAACCAACTCTGAAAATCGCAAACTTCGCGTATGAAGTAACATAAAACACTTAGAATATAAAAATCAGGTTGCTATGTGTATAAGATATTGAGCAACGTGAGTTACTCAAAGTTACTCAAAATTAACTCCGATTTTCTCATGATCGAAAGCTGTCTTACTCCCAGTACGGCAGTATGAAAATTGAATAGAAGTTGAAATTGAGCGAAGGGCCATTAATGTGACAGTACTATTTAGTCAAACGCACTGACGTGGGTGCAAAAACATAGTTGAGTCTTGCGGGAGAAGATATTGGAATCCATCCTCCATCTACCTCACATTGATTTTAGTACTCTGCATTTTGGTACCCACTTTCTGGGTGGTTCGCCCAAAATCTGGTGCAATACTGTCCTTTGCATCTCCCCACCAAATCAAAAACGTTTGACGCCATATTGAATCGATGGTGCATACACGCCACCTTCTTCTTCTTTGTTCTTCGCATTTCAAGCTTATTGTTTGTCGCATATTAACGTATTGCGTGCTCTCAACTTAGTATTCTAAATACACTTTCACAGTTATTAAATTGAGAGCTTTCGATGGCAATGCCCATTAGACTGATGCAAAATTTGAAATTTTCGCTCCACAGTGCTCAAACGGTTCCAAATTGGGCCCTGATTAGCCTTCCAAAACTTGAACTCATTTAGTGAGAAACTGACTTGGCACAAACCATTTGAAGTTTATATGGAAATTACTATGCGAAAACAAAACTTTTTGTTCATTGTCTTCTAGACTTTTTGCATATTGTACTTTTAACAAGTTCTATTGCTATTCTTATGGGAATTTTTATCAGCTACAACTTTGCAGGAAATCGTTTTTCAGCCAAACGTCAAATTAAATAGTTATTAATTGTTTAAGAGATTGATAATCTTATGGCAAGATTAAGCAACTGTATTGTGAGCAACACAGTATTCTGCAGTGTGACATAGTAGCCATGATTTTTGTCCTCTATTCTACGCGCCATAAACACCAATGTTGCCTGCTGAACAGTTGATTGAGCATAATCATAAGACATCAGTGAATTGAATCATTAATAACTTTTATTCCTTATATTTGATCGAAAAGTGGTCTTTGACAAAGTTGTAGCTGAGAAAATTTTCAACAAGTTCAGCTATCATTTTCTAAAGTAGAGTGAACTGGTGAATTTTGAGATAGATATGAACCTAAATTATGGTTTCTCCATAGTAATTCCCATATAAACTTCAAATGGTTTGTGCCAAGTCAGTTTCTCACTAAATGAGTTCAAATTTTGGGAGGCTAATCAGGGCCCAATTTGGAACCGTTTGAGCACTGTGGAGTGAAAATTTCAAATTTTGCATCAGTCTAATGCCCATGCATGCATTTGTATATAGTGTGGCAAGCACAACGGTGCTCTATGGTAATACCATAGAGGTAACTCTAAGACTAGAAGGTCCCGAAATAACGTGCTAAACTTGTTGGCTCAGCTCTGGTACTATCTTCGGTCCCAAGCTAACCGATTCACCCCTCGAAACATAGGAAAAACCAGTAACCCCTCATTTTATCTGTTTAAACTTTCATAGCGAATCAAAACAAACATTGCGTAGTAGTAGCATTTCGACTAGTATGGGGTACGTTAATCGTTTGCTTGGGACCAATAGGCTAGTCAAGTAGTGAGCCAATTTAAAATCTTTAGTTTCGTATTGATTGTTGGTAATACCGCGTCTTTACTGACTAGGTTATGAGGTCGCTACATGTTAACTTGAAAGTTCTCATAAATGAGTAAAATTTCACCCATTTTGAAGAAAAGTGGCTAAACTCAATAGTCTATCCATTCGGGTAATCCGAAAATTTTGAATTTCCGGGAAAATCCAAATCGCGCAAGAAACGAACGTTTTCTAGATTTTGCCGTTGCTCCTGCCACAATAGCTCGGAGAGTTAATTTTTAGAATTTTCATTGCCTGTCATTGGAGGAGAAGTGTGAGTTCTTTTGTTTCAGGTCTGAACAAGGTAGATCCTGTTATGAAGCTAGTTGAAGAAAGAGATGCAGATGCATGCCATCAAGTCCTGAAATCCATGCCTTTTGAAGAATCTAATGAACCAAACATGACATAATGGGGCTCCATGAAGGTTTAGCCATTCTAACATTCCAGTCATCGTAGAATACCTTGTTGAGTCTGCAGAACTTCAAGAATCTGGAATGATTTGAAGAATAAAAAATATTTTTTAGCTCAGTTTAAATTATGCTATAACGCTCCGCGAGGTTTCAAATGGCTCAAAAATTCCTGGTGGACATCGTACAATATTTCGATCAACCTGTAAAATATCTCCACAACAATTTGGTTACTTTGCGTCTCACAAAATGTTATTTGGTTTGTAGAACTTCAAAATCTAAACTTCAGGATGATTTGAAGAACTATTAATATGGTAGAGAACTACTTCGGCCTAAATGCCCATTTTGGGCCTATCAAGCAGAAAATATCAAATAAATCCATGATTTCGGCGTTAACAGATAAATTATGCGTTAGGTACGATACTTTAGTTCAAATGCTACCGCACAAAGTCAATAAGAACGCGTGATATGAATGTTTGCATACAATATTCTCAAAAACAAATGAAGCGTTCCAACCGAATCAATTTTTTTCTTCATCAGATAGGCCGAAGTGAATTCATTGGCGTTTCAATGCGTTAGCTCGAGCTTAGAATCCGTAGGCCGCGTTTGGCGTCAAGAAGCAGTTTTAGACTTTTAACAATATCTCAAAAATTAGTTACTCTTTATCAAATCTTACGGTACGTACGGAAAGGTAAATAAATTTGGAAGTTATCAGTAATCAGTATCAGTAGAAGTTATCAGTAATTGAATGGACACCCTGTTCATGGAATGGGTAAAAAAATTCCTAATGAGTTAAGCCACTTATGGGTGAAATTTTACTCCTCAATGAGTTCTTTCAAGTTAGCATCCAGGAAACATTTTGTACTATTCACATCCCCCTACTAGAAATGGTTTTTAAAAAGGGGGCTCACAACAATTATTACGTCACGCTCTAAGGCCGCGCCCAGAGTAGACGCGCCCAATTCCAAAGAATCCTATTATGCTACTCTGCCCGTTGCCTAAGGGGGATAGGGTGTGTAAGATTCTGTTACAAATAATGCGATAAAGAGACTACACTCTACAGACTCTACCCAGCTCGGCCAAAACTGAACCTACCCAAAAATGGGTAAACTGTGTTGGGAGTGACAAGTTGACAAATGAACAACATTGGCATGAATCCGATCGACGTTGTTCGTTTTTCAACTTGTCACTCCCAACACAGTTTATCCATTTTTGGGTGGGTTAAGTTTTGATCGATCTGGGTGGATTATACCCAAATTTGGGTAGTTTTTAAATAGTGTGTAGAATATACAAAGAGACGCCAACTGATCCCTGTGAATACAAATCATCTAGAAACCATTGAGGCGCGCAACACTATCATTGTTCAAAACTTCGCTTGACTTCCGATTTCGTTTCACACTAAGATTATTTTACCGAAATCTGTGAAATTTTACCGAAATCTCAACAGCTGAACGTTCGGTAAACATTTCGTTGATTTTTCACAGATTTTCATTGTTTTTTCACAGATATTCGTTGAAAAACTACAGGAAATCTTATGTATGTTCGTTTGTAGTTATTCGAGGAATATTTTTCCCGGTTTGGATTTTCGGTGATTCGATTTAGAGTTGGTAATCAATTTAAATCAAACGAATTTATCTTTTTATTTCGCTTGCTTTTAGAGATTGTACCTGCAAATACCTGAAAAACTTGATGAAGCAGATAGCAATCCCGTAAAACAAAAGAACAATATGGGGGCGACTCCGGCTTAGTGGTTAGCATCCATACCTCTCACGCCGGAGTCACGAGTTCAAATCTCACCCCCGGACAAGTCACGAATGACCCAAGAGTGTTAAAGTGACTATAATAAAATAAAAAAAAAGAACAATAGAGGTATAATGAAATGTATTGTAACCATACAATAGAATTAATTGTACTTAAAATAAATTGCACTGTCCACAACGATATAAAATAGAATCCATGGTAAATGGGGTAATCTACAATAGAACAAGGGGGTTGTATCTTAAAGGTACAAAAAATCACTTTTTCCCGAACAAACTTGAGCCATTTACCATTCATTTTATTGTTTTTATACTGTTTAAAATTCATACTATATGGGACGTATTGTAGATCTATTGTAATAACAATATTTTAAATTTACTTGTACATACAATAAATAAAAATTAATTAATAAATAAACAAATAAACAAGATCGATTGTTGGCAATAGGTTTTGTTGTGATTTTATATCTTTTTATGGTGATTGTCATTCCGAGGAGTGAATGATTTAAATTACGACCAGCGTAAAAATATGAATAAAATAAATTGTGTGGATTGTTACTGGACCACATTTTGTGAACAATAGTTAGATATAACGTGATCTGAATTACCGGATATAAAAAATAGTTTAATACTTTTGGCAAGTTCTGTACCGTACCGATAAGCACAGTTAAAGTTAGACAGCGAATAAGAGAGGGCGTCAGAGAATTGCATATGAGTTCTACAGTAATTTAATTCAACTGTTTAATTTTGTTGTTTTATTTTTCTGTTGCAGATAATCTGAGGTCTAAGGATCAAAAAACATCAATAATTTTAAGTACTATAGCCGGTCTTTTGCTATTGGGTAAGTATTGAAATGCAATTAAAAGCATGCGCTTGTACAGTCAAAGATTAACCTCTACATTTTTGCAGATTAATTCCTTCGCCACAAATCCTAGGGCTGCTCGATCAGCCTGCGTCACACGATGTCAACTTTTGACGTGTTCGACCGTACCGCATGGTATTTCGGTCCCATGTCCCGCCAGGATGCGACCGATCTGCTAATGAATGAACGGGAAAGTGGAGTGTTCTTGGTCCGAGACAGCACAACCATCGTCGGAGATTACGTTCTGTGCGTACGTGAGGATTCGAAAGTCAGTCACTACATCATAAACAAAATCCCCTCGGCAGATGATTGCTTCATGTTTCGGATTGGCGATCAAACTTTCAGCGATCTGCCAGATCTACTAACGTTCTATAAGTTGCACTATCTGGACACGACACCGCTGCGGCGACCGGCAATTAGACGATACGAGAAAGTGATAGGGAAATTCGATTTCGATGGAAGCGATCCGGATGATTTGCCATTTAGGAAGGGCGAAATCCTTGAAATCATCAACAAAGACGAGGAACAGTGGTGGACTGCACGAAACGGTAAGGGTCAAACTGGCCAGATTCCAGTTCCATATGTCACGCGGTATGAGGAGAACATTATCGAGAGGCCACCAAATGCACCCGGTGCCGGAGGTCACCACCATCCGCCACCACCGGTTGGCTTGCACCACTCGGAAAATTCCAACATTTTCAGATCGAACCTTAACCGACAGTTACCGGCACTGGCTCGGGTAAAGCAGGAACGAGTGCCCAATGCCTATGACGATACGGCTCTGAAGCTGAACGTCGGCGATGTGATCAAGGTGATCAAAACCAACATCAACGGCCAGTGGGAGGGCGAACTGCGCGGTAAGGTAGGTCACTTTCCTTTTACCCATGTCGAGTTTATCGATGACGAAGTTCAGCATTGGAGCGGACATTAAGTGCTGGCAGGGAGGGGTGAGCACAGTTAGGATCATTTATTGCTCTTTTAATTTCATTGTGAGGAATTATTATTTAATTGTACAGATTATTTTATGCTTAGGGATGTACGTTTCAAGTCATTTATGTATTTTATGTTTAGTGGTATATCAACGTAGGCAGCCGTATTGCAGGATGGTTGAGTTTACTTGGTAGGTGTATTATAGCGTTAACAAAGTGTTTTATAAGTCAGTCAGCGGCAAATTTATTCTAAAGTAACAAGATTGTGAAACACCCAATTTATACATTTATAACAGTCAGCAAAGCGAAACAATAGCAACAAGCAGTAACCAGCCAATTCCGGGGGAAAATCGATATATTTAAACTAAATGTGTAAACACATGCTAAACAGTATAAGATTAAAAGTAATGCCAAGAAAATAGTCAATATAACTGAAACTCACACAACAACTAAGGTTTAACAATTTGCAACATCTCAATTTTTAGGGTTACTGTTCCTATATTGGTCATATAAATGAAAGTGTGTGTTGGCGAACCTGCGTTTAAAGCATGGGTTCAATAAAGGCGGCAACGCATAGGATCAATATAGAAGAACCTTATCCTCTACCATTGAAATCTCGAAGATGAAATTGTGTTAACAAAATTGGATTTTATTTCGACGATTATCGAGCACTTTGAAATAGTAGAGTTGAATAAAGGATGTTCATTGACTAAGTATTTAGGGAATGGGCTTCGATGTTATTAAACATACTTGCTTTTTCGGGTGAATTTGTTATTTAAATGTAAAAGGTTTACGATTAATCAACAATCTAAAAATCCCAGTTAAAGCACTGTTTAAATACGATAGTGAAGCAATAGAGTCTCTTGCTCTACCATTCCCTATCATACAACAGTCAGTTTATCAACAATTCTTGTCTTGGCAAAGCAAAAACATGGCAGTAGAACATAATAATCAACCGAACAACGATTCCAGCATAATCAATATTTGAAGTTGAACGATTGCTTCTCAGTCTCATTTCCATCATGTCTATCTAACAGTAAACACAAATCACTGGAACTGGAAGCAGAAGAGTGCTTAAGCGCAAAAAGTTTAGATTCCGTTCAAACCAAATTCGTTTCGAATAAGTTCGAATATTTGGGAGTGCCTCATAATGTCGCCCGGCATAACGCCGTTTGGCATAACTGCCATTTGGCATAACTGTCATTTGGCATGAATGCAAAACAAATGTTTTATCGAACATGACTGTTTTTCATCATTATCCGTTATTCAGAAAATATGCTCATGCTCAAAAGGGTGGGGGGCTAGGGGGTATCTTATAAATGATTATTTTTCCCTTCTTTTGATCATGAGCTGTTGCCAGAATGGACTTTATGCCAAACGGAATTATACCAAACTGTGGTACTCCCGAATATGGCTATAAAGCTATATTACGTCTAGAAACTATGTGAAAACTTTTTTCAGTGACAGACACACTGTCAAATAAATAGGTCTGTTCCCGTACTTGCTTTTCTGTAAGATTGTGTACAACAAAAAGCAAACGGAGGATGTTCCAGTACTTGCCGCACCATATTATTTTCTTAAAGCAACTTACAGAAAGCTGCGGCAACTTACAGCAAAAGCAAAAAAGCAAGTACGGAAACAACCTATTTTCTGACAGTGTGCCTCTTACTGAAAACAGTTTTTACATAGGGTAAATGACGGATTCGGCAAAACCTTAACCTATAATCGTCAGGGAGTAAACAACGTCCTTGATAGCTCAATTTTGGTATGTGGATACATTATGTGTCAGAGCATCTATTGGGCAAATTTGAGTGCTATAGGACTTTGTTTAACCACTTGACGATAATAGGTTAAGGTATTGCCGAAGCCGACATTTCATCTATTTTCTATTAGGAACGCACATAATATTTTTCCAGTACCAAAATTAATTGTTTTTTTTTATCTGAAATGAATTTTATGTGAGTAATCATATAGATTTCATTGGACACATAAAGTTCATGTGATTTAGTGGTGCAATTTGTGAAATTCACATGGATATGTTCCACTGGTTATGTGATTTATTTTATGAGTGCTTACCAATTGTACAAGCACAATCCTTTACAATCGTTCAGTGCAATCAAATGAATATCAATCAAATGGGTTTCCAAGCAGATAACGAATCCGAACTGCAAAACAAGTGGGTCCACACAACACAGCAAAACTCCGTCGGCAAAATGTCCAGCCAAACCTCAAAACTAGAAACCCTTCCTAGTGGTTGTTCCCGGTCAAGTAGAGATTTTGTCGTTCGTCGAAGATACCCATCTGGCATCTCCATTATAATCGGTATTATACCCGTAGAATAACAAGAGTAAATGAAAGCCCACCAAATTAGATAGCTCACAGAGCTCAGGTTTGAAATGATGGTAAACCAATTTCCTTGCTTTGCAACCGATTCTTTTGTAACATTTCCGCTTAGGTTTGCGCGAAACATAACGGATATTTTCTATCGGAGACGGAATAGTTTTATAACGGAAAACAGAGAAAGAGAGTCTATTCAATATTCTAAAACAGAAGTGAACTCATATATATTTTTACGAAACTTTTTTGCAATGAACAGATGTGTAGAGGTATTTTTGAGGAAACTCGTACAATTCCTAATTTAGTAGACTTCCATAAGGCTTGTTTCACTGCACATATAGGAAAATGTTGTATAATTTATATAAACCATAATTTGAATCGTGTCTAACAATCGCATTACTACTTCGTAGGTCCCGATGATTTTTCGTCAAACTGATGTGTAACTGTATGTGGGTTCATACTATAGAATGCTTAGACTGAATTATTCGAAATTATTTAGGTACTCTCTGTTCGCAAATAAACCCCGAGATTGCCAATGAAATGCGAAACCTAAAACACAAACACAATTATAGATGTGCAATACAATAGAACACACACACACATACATACATACTCACACACATGTGGGAAAGGCGTGACAAAAACACAAAATCTTAGTGAGTAAGTTTTCTGAAGGCTGAATCGATCTAAATGAATACTAAACTTTAATTGTTTTCTTGAAACCCCCCAGTTACACAGTGTAGTACTAGGAAGCAAATCAATAGCGTTACTAACGTGTTGAAGAAAAATTCTTTCCCATTTGAACAGAAGAAAACCACGCTCTATCAATAGTTTAGCCGAAAAAAAAAAAATACAAATAATTCATTCAGGAAAGCAAGAAATACTAAAAACCAACATATATTTGTAGCTTATAGGGTTTAGTTTATGCTCCACGTATGAAATTACTGCTCTATATATATATGAAAGAAAAGTTTATTTAAGAGAAAAGAAGAGATGCAAATATCTATAAACAGAAGCATGATAAAAGAAGTAATGGAACGGAACTAGTGTTGAGATTTATGGAGTGACGGAAACCAATAATTAGTAAACATCTTGTAATAACTGAAATAGCGAGGCAGGAAAGTGCATGTAAAATTTAAAATTCCAAATCTTTTGAATTATATAAAAAAAAAAAACGTCATGAAAATCTTCGTATTTACCTAAACAAAATATCGAACCACGATTTAATACAACAACAGAAGAAAATAGGTACATAGTATAATCAACAGCTACATCCGATGATAACCAAAACTCGAAGGTACTACCGAAAAATAAAGTCTTCAATCAAATTGCTTAAAATGAATTTGCTTGAGGCGTTCCTGCTGAAAGAAAGGTTCCAGAGTTTCAGATAATGATTTGTCGAGACTGATCTCCTGGGGGGTGAATAGCGTTTAGGAGAAATGTAATTTCTTTCTTCAGTGTCCTGTTAATCGCCAAAAAGTAAACAATGGTCTCGACCTGCATCGAAAAATAAAATTATCCTAAGATTTAGTCCTTTTAACTTAATTTTAAGCAATTTGGAGTTTTGCATCCCTAGCGGCGCCGGTGGTGTAGTGGTAAGCGTGATTGCCTCTTACCCCAGCAGGCCTGGGTTCAATCTCAGTCGGAGCCGCCGGGATGTTCTGAGGCATAACATCTCTGATCACGCCAAGGGAAGTAAAGCCGTTTTAAAAAGTATAAAAATTGATATTTTTTTCAAATTTAAAGAACCCAATTTAAGTATACTTTTTGTTTCGGTGGAAGAAACGGCTGCTGTTTAAACATGTCAGAAAGCTACAAGTCCACACACTAAGATTATTTTACCGAAATCTGTGAACTTTTACCGAAATCTCAACAGCTGAACGCTCGGTAAAAAGGTCGGTAACAGTTTTCCTGTAATTTTTCAACGAATATCCATAAAAAATCACAGAAAATCTGTGAAAAATCAAATGTATAAGTCAACTAATAAGCAGACGCCTTGCAAAAAGTTAATGAACATCATGTGCCAAAGGAAATGTATAAGCGGCCACACATACCTTTTATGCATTCTTATAGCACCTATGTGGTTTGTCTTATGGAATGTATAAGGTTGATGTTTTGGCAAAAATTTATAAGTGAAACACATGGATAAAATAATTAATTTTCGTTTGGTGCAGGAAAATGTCTAGTTTTGGATGATCCAATCAACCAAGAAGTGTACCAAAATCAATGTTTGAAGAAAATGTTGATTCCATTTCTTCACAAATATCACGCAGACGGGAACTACGTGTTTTGGCCGGATACATCATCGCATTATGCTAAGAAAACACTAACCTTCTTGGAAAATCAAAATATCCCGTATTTACCAAAAAGTTGAAGATTTTTTTTTCGGAAATATGAGTTCGTTGGTGTAGAAAATCAATTGGAGGGAAAAAAATTGTAATCAGCTGATAAACCGAATCAAAAGTTGCAAGAGATCTGGCAACCATGCCAAGTGAAAGTGGCGAAGAAAATCGGGCTCAGTGAAATTCGATTTTATAGTGTTTTATAGATCAATGAAAATGCTAAGGTTTTGACAGAACTATGCTGTGGCTACCACAGTATTTTACATTTGATCGTCCATATACAGTAGCGCCAAAAGCATCCTGTGATGGGTTCAACACTTGATCATCTAATTGATCAATTCTAGATAGAGCTGGAATTAGGGTGTAACAGCCTTTGTAAACAATGACTTCTCTTGTTGATTTCTCGGAATTCAAGGCACGCCTACACAAACAAACATATACATCGGGTAGGAGAAGTCTTCCTCTACTCGATGGTGCAGTCGATTTGCCAAGGCGAGCCATGACTTCCGAGAAATCATCGAGAGAAGTCATTGTTTACAAAAGCTGTTACGCCCTAATTACAGCTCTATCTAGAATTATATTTAAGTTATAAACTAATCAAATTTCATCTTTTCATCTATATATCAAACCTTTTTTTTCATATACTTGTAGATCAGCCCTAGAAAATTTAATTGAGAAGTTCGGCTAGCTTGACGGCTGCCGCTTTTGCTTACTGAGTAGAAGATCGTGGACTTACCACCGACAAACCGATATGTCACTTAATTCCATACGAAATAGAAAAAAAAAGTTATTGAATATTACATCCAAACTGCTGCAACCAGGTCAATCCATCGTTTGTGTAATATAACGTTGTACGATGTCCATCGATTTTGCGAACAAAATTACATCCATTGATGTAATATTGTATCTGCTTTTTGCTATTACATCATTATTTCATACATCAGCTTGAATTACATTGATCGATATTACATTTTTGACGTAGGACTACGTCTTTGATTTCTATATGGGGGTACACTTTGTGAAAACCGAAAATGGAACATGTAACAAATTAAGAAAGATTTTGAACGTTAATAACTCAGCTTCCCCTGGTGCAACTTCAATAAATTTATAACCAATCAATCAAGAATATGGCTACGCATCGATAACAATGCTTTCGAATGTTGATTTTCAACAAGAAACTATTGAAAAACTGGTAAATGTCCAGCATTGTCCAAAAGCGTCGAATTAACTAACAAATCCACCAATTACCTACATGCATATGCTGCTTCCCCAGCACAGTCGTCAGAGAGTAGTAAGTAGACGAAACAAGCCGAAGTGCCATTTGCCTCCGATCCTCGGGCGCGTGCGAATAGGAAGGATGGAATTGCGTATTATTTTGCACACTCATCACCATATTTAGAACCAAACGCAAATTCTTCAAGATAACCACCATCCGTCGTCTGGTTCACCGTGCCGGTGTTTGACGTATCTCCGGTCTGATTACGAGGTGTGCTGAAGGTATTCCTGAAAAATAAGATCCGTGATGCTGTAACCTACACTAAACACGCCAAGCGTAAGCGGCCATGGATGTCATATACGTTTTGAAGTGACAGAGACGCACTCTGTTTGGTATCGGAGGTTAAATCATCATCAACTTTGGCAACAAAACGGCTCTTTTCAGGGACACCAAGCTGTTTGTCCATATTCAGAACCAACGATCACACAAAATGCTCATGTAATCAAAATGCTCATGTAATCAACCCCTGGAAGCAGGGGTACAAATTATTTTGATCAACCTTGATCAACTTTGAATCGCAACGGCCGGATATTTTCGATGGAAGAAGCAACAATCTAGCATCTTATTCGACGAAGACGGCAGGAAACATTTGTGAAGCCGAGTGATTAACGAAAGAGAGTGTCGATGAAGAGAATCGATCAAAACTATCGATCGACCTATTGAAAAGTGACGCGAAATTTGTTTTCCGTACTGAGCTCGAATGCTACCGACGCCAGGGAGACAGCTCCCACACCTGGACCCTACCAATCGACCCATCAACTCAACCGGGGACCAACGGCGTGATCAGAGATGTTATACCTTAGAACATGCCGGTGGCGCCGACTGAGATTGGAACCAGGCGTGCTGGGGTGAGAGGTAATCACGCTAACCACCGGCGCCGATATATTTCAAGGTGATATCACGGCGAATGAGAACGACCCAAATTAGAGTTTAGTTATCTTAGAAATAAGAAATAAAGTGCAGGACCTCAGCGATGACTAAATTTGCCTCATGTTTTCTCAGGATTTTACAGGGACAAATTCCCGAATTTGAGAAAAGTAAAGATTGGATTCGTTCAGTCTATTGGTACTACTCCGAGACTGAATATAATTTTCCTCAATTTCCTCATTTTCTGGCAGATTTTTTAGGTTTTCCACAGGAAACCATGAGACAAATTTACTCATCGCTGAGTTCCTGCACTTTTGACGATTATGAGTGAACTAAACTCAAATTTGGGTCGTTATCATTCGCCGTGTACGCAAAAAGGAAAGAGCCAGTGTCGCTACTTGATAGCAAACTACTCATAATGGGAGGAGTCTTTGTAGCTTTTATACCACTTGGTTGCACATCATTCTGCTTTAACCTGAAAAGATATAAAAGAGCGCTGCTGTATGGCATTAGCTCATTTTCGCTTCCGACGAACAGCAATAGCAGCAGTAGGAAGGTGGTGGCTAGTACACTCCTTCACACCTAACAATCAACAATTGGGTTCTTTAAGTTGAGGTAAATGCATTTTCGTAATCTTCATTAAAAATGGAACCCAAACCCAAAATTTCATCAATTTTGGTACACTGGAACTATTTTAAATAAGTACGATTACATTTGCAAAAATCACCTTATTAGCGCCCCTTGGTGTCACTTTGTATGGGAGCGAGCTGTCAGTTTGTCAGTTTAGTGTCAAACAGTGAAGTTATTATTTTGCTTTAAATCTTGATTTAAAAATCGAGATGAAAGCGTGTGGACTCGACAAAAATATCGCTATGCTCAGAAAACGAAGCTCTTTCAGATGATATATAATAACCGATATATTTTTCAAAATTAAAGAACCCAATTGACTGGTCGTGGTAAAGGAGGAAAAGGTCTGGTAAAGGAGGCGCCAAGCGTCATCGCAAAGTTCTTCGAGATAACCGCCATCGGTCGTCTGGCTCGCCGTGGTGGTGTCAAACGTATCCCAAGTATCACAATTATGTTCCAAGATGTTTCTGCAACATGTTTATAACTGAAATAAGTCGTATATAAGTTTCCAAGACCAAATTATAACAAAGGTGCTACTAGGGATCTCCGGTCTGATCTACGAGGTGTGCTGAATGTGTTCCTGGAAAATGAGGTCCGTGATGCTGTCACCTACACTAAACACGCCAAGCGTAAGTGGCCTCTTCAATAAAATGGCCCTTTTCAGGGCCATTAAACTTACATCAGTAAAGAGTTGGAATAGAATTTATCTGTGCTTGTTTGTCCATATTCAGAACCACAAGCCCCCAACGACCACACAAAATGCTCTCCAGAGTTGTAATTTTGTAACCATGGAAGCAGTTTTGATTGATTCTCTTAATCAACCTTATCTTTGAAAAAAATTACTACAAATTTGGTACGCCTACAATTCAAAAACGGAAAGAGTTGAGATAATAGATAATTGATCAATTAAAAGAACTAAATGCTCTTCACATTTAATCCGTCCACTAGCAGTCCTACGTCAAGCTTCCGTTCGTGCCCCTAGGCACAGACCTTTCTACTTTTTTTTTGCTGTATAGTGTGCTTTGGTCAGAAATTTTATTGTTTTTGCTATGGTCAGTGTCTTGGTCACTATTTTGAAGCGAGTCACTAAAAAGTCACTTTTTACACCAACAAGTCACTAAAGTCACTATTTCCCTAAAAATAGTCACTAAAGTCACTTTTTCACTACTAAAATAGAGTAAAATTTAAAAATATCAACAAAATGTTAAAATTGAGTACTTGGCACTAAGA